AGAACAGGGATTCAAACCTAGGTCCAATGACTCTAAATTCAAGGCTCTTGCTACTACTGCACAATCTCTCCAGTCCCAGAAAAGGCTTAGAGCCGGACCTCCAAGTTCTGAACCCTGCACTTGACATAGATACATTAAGATAAAGAAACTAAAGACTGGTCTAAGGGATTGAGACCCAGGTATTATTCCCATGTTGGGAAACCTGATCAGTGGCTTAGAGGGAGAGGATCTGGTCCGATTGCTTGTTTCTAGGCAGGAAAAGGAGTATTCTCGCCATTTTATAGATGAGACCCAGAGAAGCTGAGAGATTTGCCGAAGATCACAAAGTTAATATAAAATATGGGAAAAGAACTAGAATCCACCTCAGTTGTTTTTTAGAATTCTAGAATGTTAAAGCCCTGGAGAGCCTGTAGTCCAGCCCACTTCATTTTACTGATGAGGAAAATTGAAACCCAGAAGGAGGTATGACTTGCCCAAGGTCATACATTTGTTTAGTGAAAGTCAGACATGAACCTAGATCTTTTGACTCCAGGACTTCTTCCACTATATCACAGAAACTTGGAGGGTTGGGGTGGTGACGGTGGTGGAAATCTGTCCTTGATGTTCAAAATTTGAAGAGTCCCCTTCTAGATACTGTCCCACCCCTTTGTCCAATCCCCATAACAACAGGATGGGGGCTGAGGGCTGGGGAGGGAGGGGAACAGACTATTCTTAGTAGGATGGGAGGAGAGAGGCCAACACAGCTTGAGCTCAGATAGGGTCAGAGTCCAAGTAGAGGCAAGAGGCTATACATTCCCACTTAAGCTCCCTTCTCCTCTTCTTAGAGTCCTAATAAGGGGACAAAGGAGAGAGGGTGGTAGTTGAAAGGGGTACTGGGGGCGAGGGGAAAGGAGCAGGGCCCCATGCTCTGCTTCCTTCCTCCATCTCAGGGCTGGTTGCCACGGTGATAGGTGCTATGGAAACTGGGGAGGCGGGAGGAGGGGAACTGAGGGAGGGGTAGGGCTCGAGCAGCTCCGCATCCGCCCTCGGGTACCACTTTCCTTCCCCTCCCTCTTTCTCCAGGCCCAACCTCCCGAAGGGGCCAGCTCAGCTGCTTTGTAAGAAAAAGGGGAAACGTAGGAGGGGCTTTGGGGTGGCTGTCCACGGTCCTGAACTCGAGCTTGGTGGGATGCTGACGGGTGTAGTGAGAAGGTTAGGGTGAAAAGAGAGCTCTCTCCTTCACTACAGAGTGCAACCACCCCCTTTTAATCAATAAGGCAGAGATTCTCGTTTTATGTTTCTGTTGTGTAGGGTGCCCATGACCTTGGTCCTAGCCTCCCTCTACACTGATCCAGGTCCCGGTGAAGTCCGGGATTTTATTTTATTTTTTTGGTGGGGTGGGGGTGGGGGCAGGGAGAGGAAGAAGGGAAAAACTGGGGTCCTCATCGCACAGACGAGTCTTCAGCTCCTCTTATCTTTAATCTTCCCGTCCCCCCTTCCTCACTTCCCCCACCCTAGATTCAAACACACACACACACACACACACACACACACACAC